AAAAAAAAAAAAAAAAAAAAAATTCGCGAACTCGAGTATCGAAGAAATGAGTTATCTATCAGAGTTATCAATCAAATTAACACAATTCGCAAAAACTTTAATTGTCTAATCATCCAGCTACGACTATAAATTTTTTTTCAAATACTTAAATTCCTCATAAGTATGTAATTTGTTAAAATGCTTCATCACTCGTTTTTTATTCTCATCTCGTTTCTATCGCAAACTATTGGACTGAAAACATGATCGAGGCGCAACAACAATCGAGAGGGTGGTCGCATTCTAATATAAATTTATCAAGTACGAATTTTTAATTTGCTTTCGCAAAATGTATAACATGGAAATGCACGATGGAAGGATCGATATCATCTCTGTTGCTACCCAGGAATCTGCTGGAGCTCAGAAGTACGCGGCCGACCGCTTCTCTCTCGTAGACGATGTCGGCGTCTCACCTGGTCGATCGGTAATCCAACGAGATCCGCGAGCCAAGAGAAAGTGCGGAAACCGTCATAATAATCGTCCACGGCCATTGTCATGGAGACTCGCTGATCCTGTTGCTCCAGTCGTGGTCCCGCCGGACGCGCGAGACCCGGTCGTCACTGGCGAGCGGCGAGGACGTTGAGGTGGAGAATTGGAGACGAGCAGCGGCTTTCAGTCACTTTCAGTTTTCAGGGAACGTTTCACCGTGCCAGTTTGCGTGTCTAACGCACGAACGCGACGTACACCTACAGACGAGCGACTGCGAACTAAGTGAAATCTGAAACTGAACAACACACAGCCGGCTCTTCGCAAATCGTAGTTTGCTACCGGCATTCAGACAGAGGCGCTCATACTACTCATACAGCGCGTCACGCCGGTCACGCGGTTCCCGCCGACCAATCGGCTGCGAGCGAGTCCACGCCATAATAGTTCTTTTTTTTATTACTGAATTACACTCATTGCACTACTTTTTCTCTCGCTTTCGCAAAATATCAACAACGTGTAAGTTGTTAGCGGTCATGACCCAATTATTGGATAAAATAACAAAAATACAAATTTAATTAAGTTTTTAATGATACAAATGATAAATTTGTTATACTAAGTTTTTTTAAAGTCATAAACGAATTTATTTAAAGTTGTAAATACTATTGAAAGTTTAATATTTAAAATTTTTGTTATTTTGTTTAATAATTGGATTATGTCCATTAGTATGTACATACATTTCAATTTATGTATATGCAAAAGAGTGCATTATTGAGCTATAGAAATAGACGTAATAAAATGTGTCTATAAGTACCTACGTAATTATAATTCTGTGGCGTAGAAACAGCAGAGATAGAAATGAGCTTTTGAAGAATTTATCAAAATCTTAATCGCGTGACTGATCACAATTTATTATCGATAATATGACAGTTCAAACGCACGCGCAGCTAATGTTATTTTCCATTTTTTTCTCTCTTCTATAGGGTGTCCTAAACTTTTTAACGCTGATTGTGGACAGATAGAACGGACTAAATTGAATTGCTACATTTTTGCAATTTTCGCAATAGATAAGGATATATTTTTAAAATATTTAAAAAATTATGAAAAAATAACAGATCGTTTTATATTGTATTTGAAAATACTAGAAAAAATTTTGCGGCGATGTTCTACATGGATAAAAAATTATTTCAATAAGAACAGATATATTAGATATTTTAGATATTTTAGATATATCTAAATTTTTTATTTAAGTACTTTAACTACTCAAGATTTACGATATAACATAAAGCTTTATTGCAGAGATTACATGCAGAGATTAGTTATTCTATAAATAAACAAAATTATTTTATTTATTTATTTATTTACAGAATAACTAAATAGATAATCATAATAAAACTTTGTATAAATTATCTTGAACACTTA